GACTCCTCTTACTTGCATCTAACAGGGGATTAGCATGAGATGAACAGGCTTCTTGTGATATCCTAATTCAAAATATAAACCTGAAAAATTAGAAACAAACAATAAATATTTAAGGTAAAAAAAAAAAAAAAAAAAAAAAAGAAATAAGAGAAAGGAAAAAGTTGAACGTAAGAGAGGAATTAAATCGATAGACTCATAAACTAAAGCAAGAGAACGAGAATTAAAATTCGAAATACACAGAAAATAAAATTTAAAAGAAATTAAGGATTCGAATTTTTTGATAAGAATGAAAGAAATTAAAGCGAGAGAACGAGAGAAATTACCAGACCACTGATGATCAACGCCGGAGATGGAGATAATGGTGGCAAGGCTCTGATATAGACTGTGGTTGACTGGCTAGTAAGTTGTTACGAATGAGTTTTGAGAAGTGGAGGAAAACTGAAAAAGGTTTTTAGTTTTAAAATAAAATTATATATATATATATATATGTGTGTGTGTGTGTGTGTGTGTGTGTGTGTGTACACACGCGGGGTGGGTCTATGCGGCTGGTATACCCAAATCCGCACCTGCCCCGAACCCATATTGGGGGGAAAAATAGAACTCGTACCCTCCCTATTTATTTTCGGGGCCGGCATTTCCATAAATTTCGGGGTGGGTCGGGGTGGGTACCCTCAGGTCCAATAATTAAGTTAAATATACTTGTGTAGTTTAATTAGTATCGTTCATGCAAATGCTTTCCTAATCAAGAATTTTATAATGAACTATTTGGTGAGGCTAGCCATGTTCAATCGGTTTAGTCCTTTGAAGTTTGTTTTCAGTTGACAACACTCGTTTTTCTTATGTTGTCATTCGTAAGAGATTCAAGTTTATTAGACATTCTTTAGAGTTAATGGTTTTGAGTGAACAATGGTGACACTACTGAGTATATAACTAAGGAAAAACTAAATTTATTCGTGATACGGCGTTGAACGAAGATTTGCGAATAAATGTTGATTTCATTTTTCTTTTAATGAGCCTATGTATAAAATGTTTAGAGTTAATGATACAAGCATCCATGTCTTAATTTTTTTTTTAAGAGAACGACACCTGATGAGAGTGGGGGTAGGCTAGACCCCCTACTTGTTTATAACATAAAAGTTAATAAGTACATAATAAGTTCCGTGCAAATTGCTACAACCCAACTGATGGCTAATAATAGCAACTGACAACCAAAGACAATAGCTAAATATGGCATATGCTCGAAATAAAAACCTAACAAAATGTTAGGAATACAAGCAAAACAGGTAGCCTAAATAATAATAAGGAAATGAGTGGGAGTGATCAATGAATGTCGGGAAGCCCAAGGTAAACCATTCGGCTGACCACAACAGCCGAGGCCACTTACAGTTCCGCTAAAGATGGGCGAAACAGGTACAACGGTTGCGAAATATGTGGCACCATTCGGCAAACAGTCTAGTCCTGATAGACTCAGACAATCCATAATCACCCCAACCCTGGCTAACATGCAAAATGCAAGAAACTGCCTAAATTAGGTAGAAACTACAAGTAGAAGCATCCAATAATATAAACGTGGAATGCGTGGTACCTATGTGCAAGACCATCGTCGAAATGATGGATATCAAAGATGATCCATCCGAATCATCTACTGCGGGGAAGCTCCGCTGTTGTGAAGGCTCGGGCCAGCCGGCGGCGCGCGTATGACTTTTCACTTAAGCTCACACTTGTTATTAATTATACTATTAGCTATCCACATTCCACTATTCAAAGTGTTCTCATCGAGGTTCTTTTTCCAATGTGGAATGGTGAATTTTCACCTTACATTTCCCATAAATTTCCATTTCCCATAAATTAATCTTATTTAAGTGTCCATCTTTATGCATTAATTCTCATTCATCCAATCTCGGTTTTGAGAAATTAACTACATTAGATTCATCTACTCGTAACATAGATCCTGAATTTAATTCTATTCCATTTTCGATCACTAGTAGAAAATTTGCTTATTACTACAAATTTTTTTGCTACGGTAAAAAACCGTAATAAAAGGTATTTTTTACTACGGAACAATTTTGAAGTCGTAGTAAATACTAGGATTTACCTAGCAAAAAAGTATTTGGTACGTCCATTTACCGTAGCAAAGCTTTTGTCACGCCCGTATATGCTACAGGGAAAATTCGTAGCAAATGCGTAGCAAAAGCCTTTTTAGTACAAATTTGATACCTTTTGCTACAGTTAATGATCGTAGTAAAAAACTATTTTTCTACTAGTGGATAAACGGAATTCACTTACATATTTTATTAAAGTTGGGTTTACACACTCTTTTTCCAACATATATATTTTTTTTGCCTTTTAGAAAGAAAAAGTACCAACACATACTGTTTTTTGTAGATTTATTTTTTAATTAATATTTAATTAATTATGAATTAAAAATTGAAAATTTGTTTTACAAGTGATGTGGGTAGGGGTATGAACGAGCCGAACTCGTCTCTTTTGGCAGGCTCGAGATCGAGCTTGAGTCTATTTTGTTGAGCTCGGCTCGTTTACCACCCTAGATGTGGGTGACAAATGTGAGATCATGAGGTTGTTGGAAAGCAAAGGAGGAAAAAACAAGAATGTTGGGATTTGCATGAAATTAAGAACAAACATCCAAATTGTGGATAAGAGAGAACATAAATTCAGACATGAAAAGCAGTAAAAAGAATCCATATTTTCTGTAACAAAGTTAATTCGTAGTAATCTGTAGTACAGGCCTTGTCTGATGAAAGAGATTCGAGGGCAGGATCGGATGGATGTGTATAAAACCCAACGTAACGTAACTCTTCATATTGAAAATACATGTCTCTAATGTACACTCCCATGATCCTTCTCTTCAATCATCTCCGTAGTCGTATACATACACATGTATTTGTATGTGTGTGTGTGTTTCTGTAGTCTGAAGAGCTTCCTTTAGTCCAAGATCGAGGGTTGAGAAACGGGTAGAGCTGCCATCTCATGCATTAGGTTACACTTAACATTCGAATCGCAAATACTTATCTGGCTAGTGTCGATTGAAATAGCTCAAAAGAAGTTAAGTTATAACCAGTGCATGAGGTGGGAGCAACTCCTTCCGTTTTCTCTGCCCGCAGATTGGACTGAAGGGAGCTCCCAATAATCACAAACATGCATGGTAATATGTATCCATAAACATTTATATTTATTTTTTTGTGTACATATATGTATTTCATTCATACTTATTATGTTTTTCTTTATCTGATATGATAATCTTCTGTTCATTTTCAATCTGCTCGGACCCATTATATAGCAGATTATTTTACAAAGCTGGTGAGGTATCATATGGAGTTTGGATTGCAAGCATGAAGAGATATCACTGTATATGTGTAATGTATATATATATATATATATATATATATATATATATATATATATATATATACATATATTTAGGAAAAAATACAATTTTCACCCCTCAAGTTTGCACTGATTTCAAATTTGATCCTCTATGTTAACATCAAAACACATTTGGTCATTCATGTTTCAACAGTGTAACACTTTTGGTCATTTTCGTCAATTTACCTTTACTCCGTTAGTTAAGGGAGCGATGGGAAAACGCTTGATTCCATCATTATTAACGAAAAATTGACGGAAATGGCTAAAAACGTTGAATGTTTGAAATATAAGGGACCAAATGTGTTTTTGTGAACATGGGGGACCAAATGTGTAATTATTGAAAACTTAAGGGACCAAAACTGTATTAATTGTCCCAACAGTAATTTAGACTCCACTGTCTCTTAATAAAAGTTTCATTTGGGAAATTAAAATGATAGATTTTTATAGTTAGCACTTACCACCAAGATGCTTAGTATTCAAATACATGATAACAAATTTAGTTTTTCTTAAATTCCATGAAAGCCATAATTTTCGAATCCAAATGAAACTAGTGTATGAGATTGAATTACCGATTACATCCCTAATAATATTGTTTGCACAAATCCCATGTCTTTGAATCAGAAATCTCATCTCCACAAAGGTGTTACAAGTTAGTATTTAGTATGTTTCATCTCGATATAATGCTGAATTTTATGCTACACGCACCCGATGAAGTTTACACCATATACATCATCATCTTTGATTTCTATGCACAAACATGGATTTATGCGTGTTTATGTAAAGATCAATGGTTAGTAAGTATATGCTGGACTTCACCCAGTGTGGAGTAGAATATACATTTACAAAATACAAGTGTTAATTAAATAAGATACAAAATTATGTACAAAATGTGAAAAGGATTGGGCGTCAGGCTGGTTTAATTAAAACATGTGAAAAATATGTCTATATGAGATTATTCTTCGATAATACAATATCATGAGAAAGGGGGCATTCAAATTAAGACCGGTGCCGAAAAAGTAAAAGAAAGAAGAAATAACTAGACTCGGTTCCAGAAAAAAAAAAAGGAAAAAATCACTCAAGCCATCCTATTCATATAATCCCCGTTAAAATCAGATTTGAAATCGAAATCTAATACGTATTACAATTCCGCTCCAAAAAATATGGGGAAAAAAACAAATATCAAAACTTTCAAATTTCGTCATGAAAAATATTGTTCTAAAATTGTTTTTTTTAATTTCAAAATCAAAGGAATTCAAAACTTTCGTTCCAAATATTCTTCACCTTCAAATTAATCAAAGCACAAAGCTTGGGTTGTTTGACGATGTCGTTGAATCATTATTAAAGAGAGATCGTTAGAATGGGTGGTGGAGATCACAATGATTGCTAAAACTGACGGAAAAAACCCAGTTACATTGGGTATAAACTAGGGTAATTTTATCATATCACAAAAACCGATTGAACAGTCCGTCCGGTCAAGTAAACATCAAATTTCTGTAATACCGCTTGATACTTGATTAAATCACTACATGTCATTCTACTATTAATACTTCATTTCAACAATTAATCCACATCCCATAAATTGAAGTAAACGAGGCCCAACTGGATAAAACTCGAGGTACAGTAAAAACAAAATCAACTTGATATTCCCGAAATAAAAATAACAATAATGTAGAACGTAAGAACTTATGAGACATCAATTATTGTTAAATTTGATTTAAAATTCTCATCACTTTGACAAGTAAAAAGACCACATATCAAAGCAAGAGTTAGCCATGTGGCCTCGAACGTCTGTATGAAATGAAAGGGAAACATTTGATAGTAGCAGTCTAACGAAAAAAGCTAATAACCCAACAAACACACACACCTTGATTCACATGCGGACATCTCTCCACATGCCTTGGCCTACCGGTAAACTTCATTACCTGCAGGGAGGAAAGGATTCCTGACGGAAGTCAAATCTTCTAATTCTATTAAATACCATTTGATTACAGTTCCAAATATATTTTTAAGTCCATCAAACTAAATGTATTCTTTCTCAAGTATGAGATAGAAGATGTAATTTGGAAGATTTATGAAAATCGGAATCACAAACGGGACTGCATGAAACTTAAGTTGGATGTTATAAAATCCAATGGAATGCCTCCATTACATCCAATGTTTGCTGCACCTAAACTCAACTATCAAGAAGCTATATTTAGCAAGAGCAGTTTCCCAAATCACCTTCCTCATATTTATGAATCCTGTCTACTCTTCGATGCTCAAACATTTTTCTTCTAGAAACATTATTGCAAGAAAAAATCTATTATTAAGCACGGAATCTATCAAGACATTACGTGCATCTCAGTAACAAATTTTCTGACTGTAGATCTTGCTTTTATAAATCCTCACACGATTTTTTTTAACCACAACAATTCAATGAAAGTAGCCTACTAATTTATTTGCTACAAATTTTTCACCATCAGATTATTAAGATGGTTGGTTGAAATTGACTGAAAGAGTGAGAAAAAGATACATATTATAGGAGTTGAACTTTTGTAGTCCTTCCCACACACTGGCACACTTTTCATACACTAATTAAGGTACTAAAGTCTGTATAGATATCGTTACACTAAATATAAGGGTAAAATGAGAGGGAGTTAAGGTTAAAATGGAAAACGTGGTGAGGAGTGGAGTCAAGCAAAGTTTTCTCAAAATACATACATGTTGGAGACATAGGAAAAAAAACATATATAATGAATGCATTGCTACACAATAAACTAAAGGACTAAAAAATCTATACACTTGATGCAAACCAAGTAACATGAAAAGTACATAATTACAAAATAAACAAACAGACATTAAAACTTAATTGCTCATTCATTTAAAGATGCTTTTCTTTAATTTCTTTTTATACCTACTCAGGCGAGAAACCATATTATTTATTGCTTATGAGAGTCATTCTCTTGGAAAAAAAGTGCAAGGAATGATGATGAAATTTCTCCATGGTTTCGAACCTTAAACTGTGGACCGTATCTCCTCCCACAAAGGTGGTGTTTGCAAAAACTTTAAAACTATAATATGACAGCTGAAATCCTATGCATAACAAGCTTTAGAAAATTTCTCGTGGTCATAAACTAATCATACAGTAAGATTTCATATTTGAACCACCAATAAAGCAAATTTGGTTTTCTTTCTTTTGTTCAATGTTGATGTGAAGATTATATATGAATGGTGGTCCCAAAATGGCGTTGTTTTATATGCTTATTTTGCCATGAATTTTTTTAATGAAACCTGCTTATTGTATGTAGGATGTTAATTGTTAATGTTTAAATCTTTTATAGATGTGTAGATAGTATTAGAAATAATGTTCTGGAAATTTTTGCAGACACTTTAGACGCACATTTCAGTCAATATCTGTCCATAATCTGATTTGTACATCATTGAGAACTACATGCAGAAAGATTTCTAATGTATATCATACTCGATCTATGATCAAATGAAGATTAATTATTTTGCTAATAAACAATCCGTCTTTCAATCCTACTCTAGGTCACTCCTACCTGGTTTGCAAACACAACATTAGAGGTCTTCGATGTTAAAACTAAATGCAGCAACAAATTCACAAGGATTAAAAACTCAAATGCACCAACAAATACATACTATGCCTGTAGATTTACTAGTTTTCAGACCATTAAGTGTCACGTTTCAGCAAAGTTATATAATGAGGTTAAGAATTAGTATAATAGATCGCCCATCTTATATGAGCTTTACACAAACTAACCTAAATTACTCAATGACCCAGTCTACTTTCATTTTCCAGCTTTTCTATACAGATCACCATAACTCGTTTGTTATGATACTATAGAGTTCTTTCAAGAATATCAAAGTTCAACGTTTACATCACAACATAAATACAGCTAAACTGAAGGAGTTGCGGCATTTAAGCACCTTTTAAAGCCAAATTAGTTGAAAAATAATAAATCTGAAAACATCTGGATAATCATATGTATATAGGATATCCACTCAAGAAGTGACTTAATTTTAACAAATAGGTTCCCTTTTAGCGGAGAAAAATAGTGCACAAATAAGATTGTTGGTTAATCTGCTAGCATATGAACAAAACTACGTAAAACAAAGAACAGATGGAATACTATTTTGGGAATCTTGTTCTGGTTCTTAACTATTTACTTTGTCGATGTGATTAACTAGATTCTCATTCATACGGAACTGCTCAACATCAGAATGCATGTTATGTGAATTCAGTACAAACAATACGAGGAGGCCACGTCATCTTTCGAGGAGTTTCAGGTAGAGAACTCAACCCCAAAAGAACAACAAAATTGGTACTTTTTTTTCCATCAATGCAACAATCAAGAAAATGATTATCTCAATCAGACTCCAGCCCGCTTGCTTATACACACAAAGGATAAAAACAATAAAACAAAAATGATGATATCCACACATAGGATAAAATGATAAAACAAAAGGCTCAACAATTTAATCATTCAATCTTAATAAAAAAAATTAAGAACAATCAAATAAGAAAGTACAATCATAAATCAATTTGAAGTCACTAAAGTACCTGAAATTAATTATTGGGACCAGTTATTCGGCGGCGATGAACCCAGTTACTCGACAGACTCGGCAGACGCCTCAACCTTAGGACCTACAAACAAAATTCCAAAAAATTAAACAAAGTGAAATTGATATGTTAGCGGCGGTGTTGAGAGAGAGAGAGAGAAGGAGGAGCAACCGTGGAAGGAGTGGGGGCGGTGGTCCTTGCCCCATCCGACGCCGCGGGTGGATTCTAGGTATTGGTGAACAAGGTGTCTGCATTTCTGGAGGTGGTTGATCCCTTCGACACGGTAGCACCACTTCACCTTCTCCCTCAAAATCTTAGCCTTCTCGATCTGGATCCACTTCTCCCTAACCAGATACTCCCTCATCTCCAGCATCGCCACCGGATCCTTGTACGGGTTCGCCGGATCGAAATCATCTGGAGGCCCGTCGTGCTGCAACACTGCTCCCTTCTTCCTACCCATTTTCCGAAGCCCTAGGTTTGATTTATTTTGATCGATTACAATTGGAGGAATGAATGAATGAATCAGGTTGTTTTAAGTGTTAAAGGGCGACGACGACTGATAATATAGTGTTGTTCGAAAGAAAATAAGAAATACAAGGTGAAGCGTTGTTTGGGCGTTCTTGTATTAACGGATCCGATTATAAATGGATCTTGTTAAATCTTAATTTTCAAGCCCATATGGGTCTGCCCTTTTGGCCCGATTATTTTGAGGGGTTATTTTTTAGGGGCCTTAAGATACAGGTCCCTAGTGACAAAACTTATTTGAACTAAATGACAAGTTAAACTAAACATTTGCTTCACATCCTTTATAAATTTCATTCCAAAAATGCCCTCATATACAAAAACTGAAATATGCACAAAGTAATATTTAAATTGCATTTATCATTTTTTATTTTACATTTTACATTTTCATTTTTTTTACGTAGTACACTTTTTCTTTTTTTTTTTTTTTTTTTCATATTTGTTCACTATTATAAAAACTTTATTTTTTCTGAATAAATATTGAAAATTATGAAAATAATTTTTTTAATATTTTTCGACTCTAGTATCCATAGATACCCATAGAAATCCGTAGATGTCCGTACTCATAGAAATCCATAGTAGTTTGTAGTCATCCATAGTATTCGTAGTTACACACTTTGAAAACCCAAGCCTCTATTTGAACCCTAGCCGCCACCGCACAGAAATTCATTGTAGTCTATAGTAACTCATAGTCATCTCCATGCCACCGTCGCCAACACCATAACCACCCCCTCCGTTATTGCCATAACCACCCCCTCCGTTATTGCCATAACCACCCCCACCATAACCCACCACGACTCATATATTTGGACTCATCTCTTCCCAAACACGATGCGCTTCCGCTACGCACTTCATCGCCGCTTCAGATCCACCACCGCCACCATAGATCCGACGCGCTACCGCTACCCACTCGTCGCCGCCTTCAGATCCACCGTCACCATAGATTCACCGCAGCCGCCACCTTAAGATTCACTGTAGCCCACTCCGCCGCCGCCTTCTCGTCCGCCACCGCCGCCTTCGCGTCCGCCGTCGCTGCCGCCCGTGTTTGCTTCTCCAAGTATACGGCATAATTGATTTGTGAGCCCAAATAAAAAACTTGTCCCGAGGAATATGGAGATCGGGATAGAAAGAGAGAGAGAGAGAAAGAAAGCGATAGAGAGATGTAGAGAAAAAAAGAGAAAAAACACAGAGAGAAAGAAAGAGGCAGGCCGAGGAAAAAGAAAAACAGAGAGAGAAAGAGGCGAGAGAGGGATAAAGAGAAAGAAAAAGTGAAGAACATATAGAAATAAATTTATTAAAAAAAAACGTGAGTGAATTTGTAGATTAAAAAATTTAGGGTATAAGGGCAGTTTAGGGATAAAAAATTAATTAAGGATGTATGTCATATATTATTTCAAATTAAAGATTTAATTAAAAGGTTGGATTTGAACTTGTCATTTAGTTCAAATTAAGTTTCATTTGAGGGGCTCCTAGCATATTACCCCTATTTTTTATACCCTAGCCACCAAATAATCTATGGATAAACCCAAGCACAAATCATCCTTTGACATATCCTGGAGAAGCAAAAATACTATACTACCCTTATATGCAATTTTCGCTCAAACTGTATTCAGCATTTCTGGTCCTGATTTTTGTTGATTTATTTATTATTATTATTATTATTATTATTATTATTATTATTATTTTAATAAACCTGTTTGCTGGGAAATGCTACAAATTTTAAATCAAACAGACAGTGACTCCTCACCCCCCTCGACTCCTACCAAAATCCTAGGCGCCGCTAATAGCCACCCACAGTTTCGCGCACCTACAAAAGCAAAAAATTATAGAAATAAATCTGTAAACATAAAAACAACGAAATTACCATCAAAATATAGATCTCGACGAGAGGAATCCAACAGTGGGTAGCCCGTCAAATTTCGACTGGTGGAACACAAAATACACCTCCGGGAAGACCACCGTCGTCGAATGAAAAAAAATTGCAGAAACAGATATGCGCTCCAAACTGAATGAAATCACCACCGAAAGAAAGAGCTTGATGAGAGGAATCCACCGGTAGTTAAACCATTGAATTCCGACCACCGGAGAGAGAGTTATGACTCCGGGAAGCAATTTCGGCGGTGGGAGGTTTGTGGAGGCGGGATTTTGAATCTGGGAGAAGAAGAGAGAGACCGAAATGTGAGTGGGTGGGTTTAAAACTGATTTTAAAATGCTATTATAGGTACTTGAGGGTGGCACAGGGGGTTATGTCAAAATATTTTCGAAATGAGGGGGGTTTCCCTTAGAGTGTAATCAACTTGGTAGTTAGTTCTATATAATTTGGAAATGAGGGGGTCTACAAAATAATCCCTTATTTTGAATAAAATATCTTAAATAACATTTAGGGTAAATTTCATTTTCCCTCATTGTACTTTGTCTCGATATTACTTTACCTCATTCTACTCTTGATTGCATCGATTTGCCTCCATGTACTTGAAAAATTGTTTTCAATGTGGTCATGGCTGTTAGTTGTCAGATATTTTATCTTAACACAGTTTGATCTAAGATCTGAAAATTACAAAAAATCATCCCTCCCAGTTTAAATAATTATTAAAAAAAAATTGTGGCTGGCGTCGTGGATTATGTTTTCACGTTGAATTTTTTATTATTTTTTTTAATTTATTTTTTTGTTTTATCTTTTATTGTTTTAATAATTATTTAAACTGGGAGATGTGGCGTTTTCGTTATTTCAGAGCTTAGATCAACGATGTTAATATAAAATATCTGACAACTAACAGCCATGACCACACTGAGACAATTTTTCAAGTGCAAGGAGGCAAATCAATGCGATCGAGAGTAGAACGGAGTAAAGTGATACCGAGCCAAAGTGAGAGAAAGTGGAATTTATCCTAATATTTATGAAATTTTATTTATAGGTTGTAGAGTAAAACTTTATTAACTTCTCAAATTGGGAAATCGATTATTCTCTCAAGCTCTCTCAACCCAAAAATTATTTGGACGCCCAATTTGAGATCCTTAGGGCATCTTCCACCCTACACCATTTGCTATTTTTTTACACATAATTTAGGTGTTTTTAACCTCCCTGCCTAAATCACTAAATCGTCATCACACCTAAAATTATGATGATTTGGTTTTAGTCTCCCATTGTGGTCAAAACATATATCACCATATTACCAAATCCTATATTTTCACCAAATTTTTTGGTGAAGAAATTTGCATCTCCCATTCTTCAACTATTTTACCATTTTTTCCACCAAATGCTATTTTTCCTATCAAATATAGAAATTAAAATAGGATTTGGTGTAATTAACACCATTTTGTAATTAGCATATAAAACTATTATATTAGCTAATTTCATGTGATTATCAATTTATAAACATATTTATAGAAAATATATTAGTGTTAATTAAGA